GTAACTTAATATTTCATGCCAGATTTATCACCCTTGTATAAAAATCAGAATGGATACAGTTTTAAATATCTGAGATCTAGTATTACATTATCAGATATCTGGAGAGAAGGAAAAAGATTTTTAAATGTAGATGCTCTTTCCATCATTGAAACTATCAGATTTCAGAACTAAACTGGTAATTCTACCTACCCAAGAAAATGTTTAGCTAAATAGAACTGGATAAAGAGATAGACAAAATCATAGTCAAATGTACATTCATTCTGCTTTATACATTGTTTCACTCATTAATAAGATTTCTCATTTGTTCTCATCATTTAAGATATCTAAGCATTTTTACTCTTCACAGATGTAAACTATAGCATCGCCGATAAGATGTGTTAAGTTGCTTGGATTTACCAGAGTTTGTCAAGACTTGGATCCAGTGTTTTGCAGCCCAGGTTAGGACTAAAAATTAAAAGACAACCAATCAAGAAGGGGAGAAAATGAAATAACTGATCTCTTTCTATCTTCAGCAGGTTGTGAAGTGATAATGAATATTTATTTTTATGGCATACCCCAAACAATTGGAGAATTTGACATTTGTCAAAATTTCAGAAATTATTAAAAGAAGTTGACTACTGATCATATGTCGCAGAACAACACAATGCAACATAAACACATTTTATAAGTGTGCGTATATGTGTGTGCAGGATGAGAGTAACAGAGAAGCCCCCACAAACATACTTACACAGACATACAAAGGAAAGAATAATTTCAATTATTAAATTTCATCTTTAAACTTTCATTCAGGATTTTTTACAAACATTTTTTCAGTTTTTTTCCTTATACATAATAAATTCTTATGTTTGATTTCAGATTTAATTCACAGAAATAGTTTTAATTTTGTTTAGCACTCCTATTTTTTTTTCAAATTTTTATGTATCCATTTCTAACATTTACTTCCATTTCTCAGGACTCTTACTCCAGTTGCTACCAGATAAGCCGAAGAATCTTCTTGGTCTTTCGTCCAAACGAGAAGTGGTACGCCAAGTTTTCCTGTTCTCAAATCACATGTTGCTCACAAGTCGGGCATCCAATGGGAGATTGCATCTGGCCAAGGTAAATAAAACGGACATAGCCATACAAAATCATAAGCAAAAATTTGCAGATATCCTAAAACAGACAGTTAATTGATTTATTCTTGTAAAAGTTTGATTAAAAGCAAAGTTTCTTATGTGACTGATCAAACAATTTAATACAAACACCTTTAAACAAAGAAAGTTGTATCAGAACATTCCTAGACAAGGTCAATATGAATCTATATCATAAAGTAGTATCAGAAAGTTCCCAGACTAGGCCAAAATGAACTTACATCATCAGGTAGTATTAGTACACTACTAAATGTGACCAAAATAAAAAATATATTATGGAGTAGTATCAGAAAGACCTCAGGATACGTCAAACTGAATCTACATCATTAAGTAGTATTGAAAAGTTTCCAGACTATGGCAAAAAGAACTTACATCATGAAGTAATATCAGATAATTCCAGACTTTGCCAAAATGAAACCACATCAGAAGGTAGTATTAGAATGTTCCCAGACTAGGCTAAAAAGTACTTATATCAGGACGCACTAACAGAAAGTTCCCAGATTCCCCAAAATTAGTCTACAGCATAACGTAGTATCACAAAGTTCCCAGAATAGACAAAAAGAGCTTATATCATGAAATGGAATAAAAAGGTTTGCAGATTAAACCGAAATGAACCTACACTATGAAGTATTTTCAAAAGTTCCCAGAATAAACAAAAAGAACTTATATCATGAAATAGAATAAAAAGGTTTGCAGAACAAGAAAAATTGACCCTACACTATGAAGTATTATCAAAAGTTCCCAGAATAAACAAGAAGAGCTTATATCATGAAATAGAATAAAAAGGTTTGCAGACTAAACTGAAATGACCCTACACTATCAAGTACTATCAAAAGTTCCCAGAATAAACAAGAAGAACTTATATCATGAAATAGAATAAAAAGGTTTGCAGACTAAGCCAAAATGAACCTACACTATGAAGTAATATCAAAAGTTCCCGGAATAAACAAGAAGTGCTTATATCATGAAATAGAATAAAAAGGTTGTCAGACTAAACCAAAATGACCCTACACTATGAAGTATTATCAAATGTTCCCAGAATAAACATGAAGAACTTATATCATGAAATAGAATAAAAAGGTTTGCAGAACAAGACAAATTGACCCTACACTATAAAGTACTATCAAAAGTTCCCAGAATAAACAAGGACGTATATCATGAAATAGAATAAAAAGGATTGCAGACTAAGCCAAAATGAACCTACACTATGAAGTATTATCAAAAGTTCCCAGAATAAACAAGGACGTATATCATGAAATAGAATAGAAAGGATTGCAGACTAAGCCAAAATGAACCTACACTATGAAGTATTATCAAAAGTTCCCAGAATAAACAAGGACGTATATCATGAAATAGAATAGAAAGGATTGCAGACTAAGCCAAAATGAACCTACACTATGAAGTATTATCAAAAGTTCCCAGAATAAACAAGGACGTATATCATGAAATAGAATAGAAAGGATTGCAGACTAAGCCAAAATGAACCTACACTATGAAGTATTATCAAATGTTCCCAGAATAAAAAGAAGAGCTTATATCATGAAATAGAATAAAAAGGTTTACTGAACAAGACAAATTGACCCTACACTATGAAGTATTATCAAAAGTTCCAAGAATAAACAAGAAGAACTTATATCATAACATAGAATGAAAAGGTTTTCAGACTAAACCAAATTGACCCTACACTATGTAGTATTATCATATGTTCCCAGAATAAACACAAACTTATATCATGAAATAGAATAAAAAGGATTGCAGACTAAGCCAAAATGACCCTACACTATCAAGTATTATCAAAAGTTCCCAGAATAAACAAGAAGAACTTATAACATGAAATAAAATAAAAAGGTTTGCAGACTAAGCCAAAATGAACCTACACTATGAAATATTACCAGAAATTTCCCACATTAGTCCAAAATAAATCCACAACATAAAGTAGTATCAGAAAATTCCTAGAATGGATAAAAAAGAACTTATATCTTTATGTAGTTTCAGAAAGTGCCCAGACTAGGCCAAAATGAACCTACATCATGAAGTACTAGCAGAAAAGGCCAAAACTAGGCTCAAATGAATCTATATCAAGAAGTAGCATCAGAAATATCCTAGACTAAGTATAAATATACCATCATCATGAAGTAGTATCTGAAAGTAGCCAAACTAAGCCAAAATCAACCTACACCATGAAGTAATGAAATGGGCCTACATCATAAATAGTATCAGAATGTGCCAAGACTCAATCAAAATAAACCAATATCATAATGTATTATCAGAAAGTCCACAAATGTGAAAATGTACCAACATCATGAAGTAATATCAGAAAGTTCATAGACTAGGCCAAAATGAATCTATATCATAAAGTAGCATCAGAAAATTCTCAGACTTGATTAAAATGTATGTATATCCTGAAGTCATATCAGACAGTTCCCAGACTAGGCCAAAATGATCTGACATCATGAAGTAGTATCAAAAAGTTCCAAGACAAGGCCAAAATGTACCTACAACATGAAGTTGTATCACAAATTTCACAGAATAGGCCCAAATAAAGCCATATCATTAAGTAGTATCAGAAAGACTAAGCCAACTGAATCTAAACCATGATGTATTATCAGAAAGTGCCCAGACTAGGCTAAAATGAACTTACATCACAAAGTAATATCAAAAGTAGCAAGACTAGAACAAAATAAACCTACATCATTAAGTAGTATCAGAACATTTCCAGACTTGACCAAAATGAACCTACATTGTATAGTAGTATCAGAAAGTTTCCAGATTTGGTGTAAATATACCTACATTCTGATGCAATATCAGAAAGTTCCAAGGCCAAAATGAACCTACATCATGAAATAGTATCAAAAAGTTCCCATGACTAAGACAAAATGAACTTACACCATGAAGTTGGATCAGAAAGTTCCCAGAGTAGGCTAAAATGAACCTATATCATGAAGTAGTATTAGAAAGGTCCTAGAATAGGTGATCATATACCTACATCATAAATTACTATCAGAAATTCCCAGTCTAGGTCAAAATATACTTATATCATGAAGTATTATCAGAAAGTTCCCAGAAAAGGCCAAACATACTTACACCATGACTCAAATAAATAATATGGTCTGTTTGGTAATAGTGTACATGTATAGGTTCACAAAATTTTCCCACATTTTTTGCATTTTACCAGAATGTTCATCATTTTAAACCTACATTCAACTAGCAAAAAGCCTTTGTTTGACCTAATGAATGTTTGCTAAAAGTTTAATGAAATATTTCATGCTTCTTGGGTGTAGGGGGGGGGTTGAAGGAACAATAAAAAAAAACACATAAATGCATAAAAACAGATATTTTTGAAAATTCCATGTCCCTTCAGGATGTAGGTGATCATTGCTCTCCACAGATTTCATTTCTTTATTATTTGTGAATTTCTATAACTTATTGCAAAATATAGTGGAGTTTTTTCTGTTGCCTACTCCATGTTTTTGAATTTAGTGTTTTTCTTCTTCTAAACTGGCTGCTACCCAGGGGTAGAGAAACCCAGTTTAACCTGCTATTTAACTGACACATGGAGGGAGAAGATACATGCCGTCACCAAGGACACTTGTGTAAAAATGAATGTAACAGATGTGGTGGAAAATTGAATTCTGCTGGGTGATTCCATTTTCAAAACTGATGACAGATAGGTGAATAATAAATTTCCAACTCAGATATTTTTTAAAAAATTCTTTAAAAATTAGTAAGCCACAGGTAACAATAAACTGTAGGTAATTTTTTTTTTTTGATCATCTGTCAATTTGACCTTATCAGACTTATGATAAGACAGAAGTAAATAGTTGTCATCAGTATAGATACCATATGCATATTGTTTAGACATTTTAAAATATGTCATTTTTTTCTGTTTTCCAGGCGCATGGAAAAATACCACTGATTGACTGTACCCTCATTGAGGATCCAAGTTCAGAAGTGTTTTTAGTTGATGAAGACAGTAAGTGTTTTCATCTGGTTTTTCTTTTTGTTATTATCATAAGATTTGGGAAAATAAGAAGTTTATCTTATGAAGAAGACAATAAATTGGTAAGATGCCAAAACTAGTGAAGTTTCACAAATTAATTTCTAAGGTTTATTTATTGTCATCTGATTATAAGAATGAATTAAGTAATTGTTATTGACATTATTTAGAGGTGGACGAATATCCTCATCTTTGTTGTTACTATCACAACATTTTGCCTGTTGTGTACTTTTTTATTGATTGCTTAACAGCCCTTTGCAAGTTATTTAAAGCCAGAAAATATTTTTTAGATTGTAAGAATTTTTTGAGATAATAATGGCTTAGTGAAACAAGTTTTATTAACTCATAGCTGGGAGGAGAAGAGATGGATTCATACCTTTCCCAGGAGTATTTGTGCATAGTGATTTTCCAAGCATAGCTTAGATGTGGCACAAGACCAAAAGTAAGGGGCATCCAGTAAGGATCAAACTCACTACTCATAATTGTTCTAGTGAGACAAGCTCGCTAACCATTACACCACTTTGAGGTGCCCTAGAGTATTTGTGCATAAGTGAATATAATGAACCCAATGGGAATTGGAACTTGGCTCTCTGATTAACAATTCTGAGCCATTATCTATTAAACTACTTGAATATCCATGCTTACAGTACCTGGTATTCCCAAGTGGTCACCCATCTGTATACTGACCATCTATAGGGGTAGATTGTTCTTGTTTCACTGTTCCTCTCTAGAGATTTCTAATCTTGTTTTCTTTTTAATACTGTTCAGTTATTGCTAGTCTTGTTTCCATTGTGTCTGTGTCCTTATGCCCCAGGCCAGGGACTGAACTCAAAATATTGCTACTTCTGGTTCCACCAAATTCACAAACCAATGCTTTAATGATCTAGGCTATTGTCCTGTAGACATGGGCAGTGGAATGAGAACAGTCTGCACATGGACATTAGATAATGGATTCAGGTTGAAATTGTTTTGAAATTTACACAGATTCGCAGAAACCTGAAGAAAGCCAGCAGGCAGAATAGTTGAAATATTGTGATAGTAACAACAAAGATGAGGACATTTGTCCAAGTGTAAATTATCATAAGATTTGAGAAAACACAAGCTAATCCTATGAAGAAGACAATAAATGGCTAAGATGCCAAATTTCACAAATTAATTTCTAAGCCGTATTTATTGTCATCTGATTACAAGAATAATAATTTTAAACTGCATCACAAGATTGGCAACAGGACTCCTAACAGCAAAACATTAACAATTTTACAAAACTATCATTGACTTAGAATAGTGTACGAGTCTCACGAAACATTTCCACTCAACTTTAAGCAGAGGGATGAATTAAAAAGGATGATACTATTGGTCACCAGTTTGTAGTGGGCGGGGGAGTTACTACCTATTTTGACTGAAGTGGAAAATTTTCAAAGTAAATGAATTCAACCTTTTCAAAAGAAACAAATTCAACACATGGAGGAATTTTACATATCTATTTTTATATAAAGCATAGCATATTCCAAGAAGAAAGAAAATATACTTGTGTATATACTGATTCTTTTTTAATCATTTCACCCCAAACACGGCAATAAAGCCACTAAGATGCAAGAGATTACTGAGTCTGAAACAATATGAGAAAAAGAAAAACATTATTAAAGAGAGAGAATAAAAGGAATTAAGAAGACAAAAGTTAATGATTGACACTGCATTTAAATATTTGAAGATCAAAGTTGACTGGAAAAGCAAGAGGCTAGAAGAGAGTTCCACAAGTGAGAAGTGGGAGAGAAGAAACAGTTAGCATAGAACTTACAGTTACATCTCAATATTTCAACAGTAAAATGATGAGAGCTTGCTGCCAGTCAAGTACTGCCCTTAAATTTGTAAAGTCACAGTACCAAAGAGGAAAACTCCTCATGAAAATATTTATAGAAAAGGCACAGGGAGGCTATATTACAGCAAAGGGAAAGTGACTGAAACCAAGATGTCAGGTCAGGAGCGATAACATTAGACCATAAATTTAAGCTTAAACCAGAACTTTCCAAACTTATGTTGTTGTAACACTTAATTATTTATCTCTTTAATTACCATCTAAATTTTTAACTGAATTATTTCTTTTTCATACATTTTGAATTATTTATTTGGTTTGATTAAGGCATAAGTAATATATTGCAAAAAAGAAAAAAATAAATATGTTGCTAATGCAGAAAGGAAAGTTTTTAAAAGCTGTCATAAACCATAAAATAACATAGAAAATATTTTCTTTATGAACTGAAGAACAGTTGCTAACTTCGACATATCAACAAATAAATATGTAGCATATTGTATGAATTTTAAGTATTTTATAAGCTCAACATTTAACTGCGATTGTTTCTAACCCTGTGAAGTATAGGGATACAACCTCATCATGCTAGGATCACAGCTTCATAACACTAGACATTGCTGCTGTGGTTTCCATAGCAAATAAGTTTTTTATGGGATGAAATCGCTTACTCCACACCCAACCAGCTTTGAATTCAGTTGTCCTTCTCCTAGATTGGTTGCCAACCAAAGCAAGAGAATCTAGTTGGCCCTGCTATTAACCCTTAGATTTGGGAGAGAGGAGATAGATTCATACCTTTCCCAAAGATATTTGTGTGAAAATGAATGCAACAACCTTGGCTGAAGTTTCAATTCAACATGCTAATCCTTCTTTTCCTGCTGATAAATGCTAAGCTACTTGTATGTCCATAATTATGATTGCACATCCATTGAAAAAGTTCTGATATTCATATTTAACTGCTTGCAAATGGTTATGGATAAAATACAAGAGAATTAACTTTTCTTGATCTGGTGCATTAGGTTAAGAATGTGCACTGAATGACATCATTAATGTTTAATTTTTGAATTGCTAGGTCAGTGTTTGCCAGTTGGGAATTGCAAAAGGAGATAGATGCAAAAAGCATTTTTAAGATTTTATGGAATAAATCGAAAAATTGTAAGAATTAAACAAGCTGAAACAAAATTTAAAGATTGAATGTTGAGGTAATCTTACACTTCCCATTTTCAGCTACTTTTGCAAATCTATTTTTCTTTATTATAAGTGTTCCTTGTGGAATTATTAAATACTAAACACTTAAAATACCTTGTTATATGGCAGGGATGGCCAAACCATGGCCCACGAGCCACATGCAACTCTTTGACCGTTTATATATGGTGCATGGAAATATGTTGGCTGAGTTTCTTTTTTCATCATAGTTAATATAAAAGACAAATAAAAAAAATTTGAAGCTTTATAATTCTTTATTGGGTATGAATTGAGTCCCCACTGGATTAAAACATAAGTTTAATACGTATGTAACAAAAATGTATGTGTAAATGTTGTTCATGTCTTGTGGCTTGCAAACATTTGAACTTTATCATATATGGCTCTGATATTAAGCAAGTTGGCCACCCCCTATTACATGGATTAGTTATAACAAATTTAGTATGAAAGATAAGGAAATTGAACATAGAATAGGCTGTGCTAGGGATAGTTTTGCACAACACCACCAGTTGCTACAAAACCAAAACATTAACCCAAAAACTTGAGTCATGTTCTTATATAGTCTCATCAAGTCAAGACTTTTGTATGGATATCATGCATGGAACCAAACTTGTTTGGAAATGTCTAAACTGTATACAGCCACTTTCTCAGATAAGCAATTAAAAATGGCTTCAAGCAAATGACATTTGTTGGTCTTAGCGAGGATTATCCTTCTAACCTTGTGGACTGGTACTACAGAATCATAAAGAACTTTACTGAATAACAGAAACTGCATCACTTGAAGAATTTCAACACCAGAAACAACTAAAATGGATAGTACATGTAACTCAAAGAGAAAATAAGGACATAATGAAGATATTGATGCTCATCATTATTTCAAATTAAAACTTATGAAGGAAGCCCCCATCAATATTGGAAAGAGCAATAATTATAGTTACTGGACTTGAGAAACCTATTTGTAGTTACTAGACTTGATAAACCTATTTTACTTAAAAATTGTTTTAATAGAAAGACTTTATAAATTTCAACCAAAAGTTGCACTGGCTGCTTGGTCAATGAATGCTGAATGTTTCCTTATAAGGAAACAACTAATATTACCATTACCATTTCAAAATGCACCAAAAGAATCAATAACCACTTCTAGCCAATAACCAGTTAGACCTAATTTTGAACGATTCCTGCAAGAAATCCTCAAGAGCTACTAAATTCCAAAATTTTGATATGGTTATGGTCCAAGTTCCTTGTACCACTGTGATGGACCAAGGTTAGAACCAATGAAGAATAACATGAACACAGGTATGGAATACAAAGATATATTACAACAGAAATATAATACAAATAAGTAGAAGTATTAGTAATGAGTATCAGATTGGGTTAGAGTGAACTATGTTGTATCAACAAGTATCACTATTCCAATGTCCTTACAATATGCTCTCAATTATCTTTCCTCATCTTACAATCTCCTCATACCTCTTGAGAGATGCAGTATTTATAATGTCAGGAATAGTCCATTATTATTATGGGTAAGTTCCCATAACACCCCCTTCCAAAGCTTTTGCATAGCAGGGGTTTTTAATATTTTTTTTCTCTTTGGATCTATTACCAAAGGTTCTGTGAACTTCCTTTCTCTGGACAATTTTCGTGAATACTTTTTCTGGATTGGGTAGAGGATAGTGGTAGTCTTTTATCGCTGCATTCAAACCCGTTTAGAAATCAGCGCATACTCGAATCTCCCCGATTTTTTTTTTACGTAAACCATGGGTGCGACCCATTGACTGTATTCTACTTTTGTCAATATGCCGGTGTTTTTGAGTCAAGCCAATTCTTGATCTATTTTTTCTGTTGAAGCAAACAGTACGCTCAATTTTTCTTGAAGATAGGTTGAACGTTTTCTTTTATTTCTATATTTGCTGCCATTTTCTTACATCTTCCGAGACCTGCTGAAAATACTTTGGGGAAATTCTCTTTTAGTTTCTCTTTTAATTTATCTGCCTCGGTGGATAAACTTTTTACATTTTGGCAGTATGTACTTATTGGTAAATCCCAAAGTTCAAATTTTTGCATCCAGTCCATACCGAATAAGTTTTCTGTATTTCTTAGCACATACATCTTCAATTTTTTGGTCATTCCATTGAATGTCACATTTGTAATCACTTCACCCTCAAATTTTATTTTTCTCCCAGTTACCGATCAAGCAATTTTATCAGTTCTTAACTTGGTAGGTTTGTTCAGTCTTCTCCATGTTTGTACGTTAATAATAGTTAAGTCTGACCCAGAATCCAACTGTAGTCTGACTTTTCTGTCTTGCATTTCTACTTGCACGTATTTTCTTATGTTAGTCTCATCCGCTTGGTCAGTCCTCGTGATTCTTATTCTGCTTTTGCTTTCTCTTCTAGTCCAACGATGAGAACTTTTATGTCCTACTTTTTTGCATGATAGACAAGTTTTAAAATGGTATGGACAGTCTTTATATCAATGCCAAGTCCTACGGCGATAACATGGACTGGCTGGTAGTTTTTTCTGATATTGACTTTTTGAAGTAGAAAAATTTGTTTTACCTGTTTTTGAGGAGGGAAAATTGGTTTGGTTTGTTTATGAGGAGGGAAAGTTGGTTTGTCTTCGTACTTTTTACATTATGTCTTGATGCCAGCTTCTTCTATATCTTTTGAGTCTTTTTTACATTTATGCATCTCTGGCAGTCTTTGGCCAGTTTTTGAAGTGTCAAATCTTGTTCACTCTCCAATTTTGTAAGAATTTTGCATCTAATTTCCACGTCTTTGGTTAAAACCAGGCCTTGGACGCATATTAAACATTTGAAATTGTCTGGGCTGAGTTCCGATAACTTGAAATCATCACAATATTTGTTTACCGTGGAAGCGAAAGTTATGTAATCTTCACTCTCCTTTTTTGTTAGATTCAGACATTTCCATCTTTTGTGGAATAGTGAGGTATTAGGGCTGAAAAGTTCTGTTAACAGTTTTATGGCTTCTAACTCATTTGTTTTCCTCGGTAGGATATAATCTATGAATTTGGTATATTCACATGTGCCTAATTTTCTTAGTAGTAGTCGTACTTTTCTTGTGTCTGACTAATTTTTGCAGTCAAATTCATATAGATCTTTGTACCTTCGAAAGTAAGTTGCAGAGGTTTTGTCTTCGTCAGGTGCATACATGAAATCTTCGATAGTGCTTCAAATAGCGTCTTGTGAGAGAACTGTTTCATTTTTAGAATTTTGCCCTTTATTTGATATTACACATAGCAATAATTCTTGCAATTCAAGATGTTTCTGTTCGTTTTTCTGTTGCTGTTCAAATTGGATTTTCATAAGTTCCACAATGGTTGACTTAAAATCTTCCATATTAATGTAATTTTGTGTAAGTATTTTCCTTTAGTGTAGCCTGATATTCTGGAACCTGTGTACACCAAAAAAAAAATCCCTGTGTAGAACTTGTGTCTTTGTTACCACAGTAAAGTTGATGTCCAAAAAAAAAATTTCCTTTTTTTTTATATGTTTGCGTAGAACTTGTTTTTTTAGAAATCTCCACGTAGAACTTGTTTCTTCAGTTTTCTCGTCAACACTGTTATGTGTGATCGATAGCTAAAAGGTTTGTCCTCCGCGTAGAGAGTTAGTTTCTTGGGTTACTTTGTCACCACTTGTTATGTGCGACAGATAGCAAAAAAGTTATGTCCTCCGCGTAGAGAGTTCATTATTTTTTTTTTAGGGTTTCCTCATTGCCACTTGTTATGGTCCAAGTTCCTTGTACCACGGTGATGGTCCAAGGTTAGAACCAATGAAAGAATAACATGAACACAGGTATGGAATACAAAGATATATTACAACAGAAATATAATACAAAGAAGTAGAAGTATTAGTAATGAGTATCAGATTGGGTTAGAGTGAACTATGTTGTCTCAACAAGTATCACTATTCCAATGTCCTTACAATATGCTCTCAATTATCTTTCCTCATCTTACAATCTCCCCATACCTCTTGAGAGGTGCAGTATTTCTAATGTCAGGAATAGTCCATTATTATTATGGGTAAGTTCCCATAACAGATATTAAATTAACTGACCAAACATAATTCTTCATATCAATAATATTTGTAAAACCATTACTTAAAGAAGGTAAGATCCAAATATTTGCAGAAGATGTATTATGCATTCACTTCAAGAATATGCCATACAATTAAAATACACTAATAAACCCAATTTTTAAGACACTCTTAAATTATGTTATGATATCAAGAGTTAAATATCAACAACGATGCTATAAGTGATACATATGACATTTAATTGACTGTGGTTATAAAATAAGCACATCCCCTCTCCCCTCTCAATTGTAACCATCCATTATAATAAAATAAACGTTTTAGTGATAAGGCTGAGTTAATCAAATAAAATTCTGGAGGGAACATTGGCAGTCCCACCAAAAATAAGGTAGTTTAGGTTTGTTTTGCTTTTAGTTTTTTCTATCAAAGTTAACTTAGGTAGAAGATGTATGGTCATTGACCACTTTTATTTTTTCACCCACTTTCTTTAGTTTAATTCCCCCTCTCCTACCCCATTAGGTGGAAAGAGATGTCAGTTCTCTGGTGGATCCAGGATGCCTTTTGTTTTTCGAGTGTGCTTTTTCATTTTTGTTGTTGTGTATGGATGATTGTGTGTTTGAGTGAGGGTTTGGTCAAATGATTGTTTAAATTCTTATAGTCTCCACATTAATTTCATCCAGTTAACTGATGTTCCGGCCACATTTAAGTATTGGGTGGTAGGGTTATTACTAACACTATTTTCTTTTGTTTCTTGTAAATAAATCTTGTCTTTATTGTAAATATTCATTGGGGTTATAAATTTTTTAAAGTTGTTATTTTATTCCCCACTCTCCACAGACAAATTGTACATATTAGAGACTCATTATGACTTCATAGAGTCTCTGAGGTATTATGGTGGTTGTAGTAAGAATGTTAAGTAAGAATGTGTTGTTTTGGTACAAGTATTATTGTGCTATGTTTGGGTCAGTGATTGTGGCTAGCTAAGTATATGTTTAAAACAGATGAAGATCAGCCTTCCTCATCCCGATTTTTGGTCCTGTGCCATATTTGCACATATTCATACAATCGAATAAAGCGTCATAAGAATTTAAAAATTTCATTTCATTTGCACAGAAATCTTTGATGAAGTAAAATTAAATGTTAAATTTATAAAGATTTTCCCACTTGTCTCTTATTTAATTATTCTGTCAAATTCAATTGACATTTTCTTGTTCCTACCGTATTCACCATTAATCTTTTTTTATCATTTTACACTTTGCTTTATCACTCTATATATTTTGAATCTTTTAGTACATTTAGAAGAGGAATTTTATGCAGCTGTGCCAGACAACTATGCTAGAATAAGTAATAATTTAAAATTCAAAGTATCAAAAAGTAAAATAATTTCTCAAGCATACCTGATTGTTTTCCTTTCAGCTTATTCCCTCGACTCTGTAGGGAGCTTTGGAAGTCAGACCCTTGGCCCGAACACTCTGGTTAGTCAGACAGAAGGCAAAGATAGATCATCTGACCACCATGGACTTGAATTCCGCCTTATCATAGATTCCAAAAGTGGCCCACCGTCGACTTTGTCGCTCGTTGCTGCCACTCCACAAGAGAAAGCCGCTTGGTGTAGTGAGATCAGTCAGGTGAGTATAAAATTCACATCCTTCATCATTTAACATATTGGATGAAACAAATATCATCTAAGTTTTCATATTTTACATAATTAACTATTTTAACTGGCAAAAACCCAAACAGTTAAAATTTGAATCATTCACTATAACTTTTCTAATTTTCATCTGATTAATTGTGCCAGATGTGACTAAAAAGATGTAATTCTTTTTTTTATTCATTTTCAACTTGATGATCTTATTTAACAAAATTTAAAGCATTAGAAGCAGACATAATTAAAGAGAAACAAAAAAGGAAAATTTCAACCGTGGTAGTTGGCAATATAAAATTAAGAACACAAAAGAAAAGCAAAAAATGAGAACAACAAAAATCATACAGAATGAATTAACCGGTTATCGCTCCTCAATCGTCAGAACTTGATCAAGGAAGGTAAACTTTCTTGTGCATACTGACTTAAAAAGGATACAGGATTGTGCATCATTCCTCCAAGAGGACATATTTTCAAATTTATGTTGATCGCATTCCAACTATCACTTAAAAATAATTGAATCTATATTTTTATTAAATCAAGATAGCCATCATTATACAAATGGTTGTAAGGAATGAACGTGATTTTGTTTATAAAAATATAGACTTGCCTCAATATATATTATTGATACACATACATTTTCTTCTTCGTGTTTCTTTTTTTTTTAGTTGATATGCACAAAAATTTTACCTTTCTTGATTGAGTTCTGATAAATGAAGAGCAATAACTGATTAGCTCAATCTGTTTATTTTTGCTTTTCTTAGTTCTTTTCTCTCTCTTTCTTGTTCTTAATATTGTTTTGAAAACTACCATAGTTGTTGTTTTTCTTTTTTGTCCTTTTTAATAATGTCTGTTTTTATTACTTTAAGTACAGACTTCTCTTTAGGTTGGCTTAATTATGCATAAGATATTTTCTCATATTGTCCTCAGACATAAAACTAAAACTTTCAATTTTATCAAATAATAACTGGAAAATCATTTCATATAAGGAATCTTAAAGCTCAGCTAAATGAAAACTTCTTCTGCTTTCAAAATCAACATATATCATTCTGTTGATTTCCTCACTTGTTGCCATATTTATAGACAATAATATCCATATTATTCTGTATTTTTTATTATTAAACTCCTATAAATTGCCAGTGATACTTATTTTTATCAACTGACTATTTTATTTTTGTATTCAACATGTTCGGATACTGAAATCTCTACTTTGTATATTACAAAGATCAGGATGGTATTGAATAGTAAATTTCTCTTTGTAATGTTTTCTTTATTGGAGTTAGTCTGAGAAAAATAAAAGAAAAGTCGAACAAAAAACTACATCTATAACATAATTTGCATATGTGGAAAACTATATAAGGTGGAAACCGTTTATCCTTTTAAAGTCAAATTTGAGGAACACAAGAACTATAGGAAACAAAATATGGAGAGATAATCTATCTGGGATAGATTCCAGATAAATGAAAGCATACAGCCATATCACTTTGAAACACTGGTTCTCTTATGATCACCGAAGTTAAGCAATGTCAAACTTCGTCAGCACCTAGATGGGTGACTGATTCGGAATATCAGATGCTGTAAGTTTGGAAGTACAGGTGGTATAATGGATAATAGCTCAAAATTAGAAATCAGAGAGCTAATTTCCAATTCCGGTCAGATTCATTTTGAAAGGTATGAATCCACCTCTCTTCTCCTCAGCTATGGGTTAATTAGTAGGATTTTTATCAGTAAGTCATTATTATTTCCACAAAATTCTTACCATCTGAAAACATTTCCTAGCTTAAATAACCTGCCAAAGTTTGATAAGCTGCAAAAAACCAAATCAATCAATCAATCCAGATAAATGAAAGTGAGAATTGTTTTAGATGAGATGAAACTCAAGAATGCATATATATTGCCCTGTTGACTGAGAGAATAAGTCTGGCAAGTATAGATTTCAGTGCTGTAGATTCTTTGCTTAGCAAAGTGACTGTTGGACCAAATACTGTGAAAATAGACATTTCATTGGGTACATTAATGAACTCATACTTGTCTGGAGTTACAGATTTCCATTTTCTCAGGGATTAAATAAGACAAGAATGGATCTGTTGAAACATTGTGTTAAAAAAAGCAAAGAAGATGTTTGAAGGTTACCGATCAGTGTTGGATATGTCAATGACTCCTCACAATTGTAGTGTTAACAACAGCAAATATACAGAGAAGAGTTATGTCTTCAAATAATATTGGCTGTGTTAATGATTCTTCTCAAAGCCATAGTGTCAATAACAGCAACTATAAGAATAGATTTGAGTGACCGGATGATGTTGTACATGCTAATGACTCATCTCAAACTTGAAGAATAAACTCAGCTATACAGAGAAGGGATTCAAGTGGCTGATCTGTGTTAATGACTCTTCTCAAAGTCGAGGATATATTTTTGCATTGTTGATATTTACTTTCTCTTTTCATGTTCACAGATATGCAATCTGTTATAAAATAATACATTTTTATTTCTGATTTGTGTTGCCAAAACAAAGTCAATGTACTAAGAATTCATTTCTGGTCATATAAGAACCGTTTTGGGGTTTATTTATGTCAGGTTCTAATTTAGGATTTAGCAAAATTCACTCAGATAACAATGTATACAATTGTGGCACTAATACAGATGATGACACTTAAACAAGTTCAGCTCTTGCAACTACTTTGGTAATATATAATCTTAGATATAGATAAAGAGATGTCTACATGTGATGTAACACATGCTCAAAAGATTTATACACTAACACAATGGTTCCAAACTATTTTTCTGTGTGCCACATTTTCGAAATGAGAATTTGCTCATACCTGACCAAATTTTATGTGATAATTTTACATTTAAAAATGAAAAACAGAGAAAGGGTCAAAGGGAAATAACCACAGATTCAAAGTCAGAACATTATTACTGATAACTCTCTCCTCCAATTTGCAGAGCCTAGTTACTTAATACTTGATATAATGCAAAAATATCATAATGATAAAATTGGTCAATAATTATTTATAACTATTTAGACTGGAACTCATACATGCGATTACAAGTAATCCATAATAATATTTTAAGCTTTGAAATCATATTTATTTTGGGCATATAGATTTTTGAAACTTTTTCTAAATCTTTGATTATCTTTCAATCATTCCGCCTCACCTGCTATCCTTTTCTAGCATACACATATGAGGCACGATAATCAAGATTATACATGGTGGTATTGAAAATTTCCTGTCCTATACATATTGTAATTGTACTGTTCAACAGAAATGCATGCATAACTAGTGCATATTGGTAGGCAATCTACTAAGTCAGTTTGCAAGTAGACTTCATACTATCTTTTCATGTTCAACTATTCTACAATGTTTTGTAATGTAGTGTTGGGATGGCTCTGTAATTTTTATAATGATTGACAAATTTGAGCCATATACCTGCATCAAATTTTGTGTAAAGCTCAACTGATCTACTATCAAGAGTCACAAAATACTTTCTTATGCATTCACTGAAGATTCTTTAGATTAAACACAGCTTTTTAAGTAGCATAAGGTCAGTTGAATGCTGATTCAAAATGTTGAGTTGGACAAGTCACCAGCAAAACACAAAATAATATGGAAACATTTCATGAATTCATTAATAAGGACTCCAAACAAACAATCAGTTCTATCAGTGAAATCAGTTATGAAATCTTCCAGGATACCTTTGTCTGGGAACTTTTCAATACTACCACATATTTCTTTAATATTATTACTGAAGGGCATTAAAATAAAGGCTTAATATTATACTATAACTTTAAACTAACATTTTTCATTGGTCATAAAGTTACTGGAAACTATACAATTAATTTAACATTAGTTAAATTTAAATTTGAGAATTCTTTTTTAACTGTTGTTTTATTTGAAACTTATGATCATAAATAGACATTGAAGTTTTAAAAGAATGATTCATTTTATGATCTGTCATTCAGAATTGCAAATTGTTCAAATTACAATGCTGTCAAAAATTAATAAAATAAAAATAAAAAATAAAATTGTGAACAAGATAAGCAATTTTGTTCCTTATTATATACATTGTTATACTGACCAGTGTGCACATCTATGCTGTAACTATTACAGCATTTTGACCATTGCACCCTCTGGCTTTTTCATGTATCTAATTAGCAAAGCATATAATAGTGATAATTCCTCATTTAAAAAATTCCAACAAAAATTATTTTGTTCATATCTTGAAAATTAACAAAGGTAGTGTACATCAAAGGATGACTGGGGAGCGTGGACAACATGTAAGGATACTCATTTCAAATTCATAAAATAATAACATGTAGCTTATTTTCAATAAAAAAATGGCTGTTTGCATTTCTGGGATCAGGAGTTGTTATTTACAGTCATACTAATGTCCTCATCTTTGTTGTTACTATCACAATGTTTCTTCAGGTGTTTATTGATCTTGGTAATTTTCAGTAAAGACAATAGTTGTTTGAATTTGTGGGGTGATGAGTTATTATTTACAGTCAGATTAATGTACTCATCTTTGTTGTTACTATCACAACAATTCTGTTGTTATTGCTTCTTCAGGTGTTTGTTGATCTGGGTAATCTTCAGAGAATTTTGAAGTGAACCCTTTATTTAATTCTGCTATGCATGTTTAGGGATACCTTATATTTTTCTTTTATTTTTTGGCATCATAATTGTGAGTTTAGTCTCTGGGCCAGGTAGTACAGATTAAGTCTCAGTGGAAATAGGTCTTGCAATAAATGAACAGCCCTAACAAAGAGATCTCCTTCAATGCAGAGAACAGAATAAACACAATCTGCCTCCATAGATTAAATAAAAGGTGATAATTGTTTTGATGAACATTCCTTATTGGTACCTTGACTTCATGAATTTAAGCACAGTACAAAATTGGCAGCTCGGTCTCATCATTTTATTCTTGAAATTGCTAAGTACAAGCAGATTCTTCTCTTGCACTTCTTGCTTGTGGAACTCTCT